CCCTAAAGAATCATACCAACTTGTGGAAGATCAATGTCCCCTTTGAAGCACAGCCACCACAAAATCAGACTTACTTTGAAATCATTCTGCGGTTAAATACATATTTAAAATCATAACAATAAATATTTTATCAGCTATGTTACTGTTTTTGGAATCAAATCTTTGCATATAGCTACGACAGTAAACACTGGAATCTAACAATGCCTTGGGAAAAAAACAGTTAATCTTTAAAAAATTAAGCATAGCTATACATAAACCCATATAGGAAATAAAAGAGTTATCGAATAAGCTTGTTCTAAACTCCTGAAACATTGGCGTTTCATATTTTAGAGCAGTCACTGCAATTTATGAAAGAAATCAATTAAATCTGTATGTGGGAGTGTGTGAGAAAAAAAGCAGATGTAACCCCTTTGTAATCCTTAACATTTTCATAAGTAACTGTAATTGAATTACACATTTTTTCCTCAGTAACTGTAACTGATTACAATTACTTTTATTTTGTAATTAAATTACGTAATTCCGTTACATGTAACTAGCTCCTCCCCAACACTGACTGTGTATCATCTGAAGGTTTCAGATCTAGTCACTGTCTTCCGAGCTGCTCCTGTCTGAACTGTGCAAAACTTCGATGGTCTCCGGCATACACTCACGAAGGCTAAGCTCTTCAGTTCTTTCTGTTCATTGTCTGGTGCTGGATGTGTTTTAGTACACACTGTTGCTTCGCTACTCATCTTTTGTGTGGTTTAATTAAAGTATCTCTACTATTGGAATGTATTCCTCTTTGTCATCCTTGGTGGACAAAATTGTGACAACTGTTTGCAAGTTGTAAATGGGACAGTTTGTGAGTCTCACTTGTTATAAAATACAGTTGTCAGTCCCAGACACTGTTTGTGTGGATGTAGCAATTTTTGTTTGGGTGATTACTACTTAAACATTATGTGTCAGTAGCATTGCTTGGTTTTCTGGGGCCCCTTGTACATTTTATTGCATTGGGCCCCTTCAATGGCATTGCTAGAAATGAGGGCCCTCACTTGCACTTTTTTTGGTGACACTGCTCTTAAGGACCGTGTACACCAAGGTCAATAACTATAATGATGAATAAAAGTTATAGAAGTTATAATCATCATTTTATGAGAATAGCAAAGTCCACACAATAGCTATAACAATAACGACACAGAGAATTGATTTTGCTTAAGTGTTTTTCCCCAGCTGATGAACAATAAAAACATTGATAGCCAATCAGAATGCATCCCACTTTAAAGAGGTCAAGCATTTAAAGCAGCAGTGCATGCTTATAATAAACAGAATATTACCATCTCTTGGTGTGGACACTAATATAGCTATCGTTCTCTTTATAGTTATCATTCTTGGCATGAACAGGCCTTTATGTGCCATGTTTTTCCTTCAATTTCTACTTGTTTCTTCATTCATTTTGATTTGAAGCAAACATCAAACATAGAAAATTAAATAATCTTGCAGTATACTGGGGTATGATAAATGATCAAAATGAAGCAATTATACAAAAAAATTGTGTGTTCTCTCTCATGTCTTAAACAAAAACAGCCGTCCATTAGCCAGTGTTTTACCAATACGTGGAATCTTCTTTTACAGATTAATGCACAAATGGATTCTTCCATTCAGTGACGTTACCATGGCTGCGCTCGTTCTAGGCAAGGTAATGTTCAAGGACTAAACATAGAAATCATTTAACCAGTGAGACTGATGGAAGCAGCATGGTCAGCCTGATTAAAAATCATGAAAATAAATAATAAAAACAAACCTACATATCTCACTCGCTGTTCCCTCTATTCACTTTGTCCAAGCTATTTGCACATTTGAAAGACCGAGCTCCTTTGTGCTCCTCTTAAATAGGATCTCTGCTGGTCTGCCCTCGCTGCAAAGCTAAGTCACCGGCTTTTATATCTCAAAATGTAGATATATGGACGAAATTAAATCTGATTTGCATCAAAAATCTGAAGAGGTTTTACATTGTATCTATTCCCTCAATACTGTGATACTGTGAAGTTTTAAAACATTTCCTAAATTGTTTCCCCAATAACATTATGCATGGTGTATTTTGTTAGTTATTTGTCAGTAAGAATTTAGATTTAGACAGAAGCCTCCCTTTTCTTAGCAAAAGAAAATCTGTCAGAGATTTTGAATTATTTTCCTGATGTACATACAGCATGTAAAAAAAACAAGCCAGCAGGATTTATAAAGGGGAAATCTTTGGCCTTGAAAAGTAACGCTTCTGTCGACTGAATGCCTCAAGATTTGGCCATCTTCACATAAACCTGTATTTTTTTTTTCTTTTTTTCATGCCTAGGCATCTGTCGTCTGGAGGCACTGCAGTGCATGAACACATTCATAACAGTTAACAAAAGAAGAGACAGGGTCTGAAAAGGTGATGAGGCCATGGGCGTTTTCATTCTTATGTAATAGCATTGCTTCTACTGGAATGGAAAACCATGCACTATGACCACACCCAGTTTGACTGAAGGTTGGTTGATTTTCAACCCTGGGGCAGAGGCTGGGGCTTTTATAACTCTCAGCCATTTGGCACAGACTCTAGATACTAACAGTCTACAAGAGTGGATGCCTCAATGAGAAGGTAAACTACATTGACCTGTTGTTGTATTTTTATTATATCATGTTAGAATGCCATACATTACTTTCATTTTTGCCATACTGTACAATTTCCAAATAATTTTATGCAGTTATTTTTGTTAACATAATCAGCGATTGGTGCTCATGTTCAAATAAGTGGCGGTTCACTGTGCTGATATTAAACCATTTCGGTTTTGTTTTCTAATTGAAGTGGTATAATGTAATTTCTGAAGTTGTGTTTGTGTGTATCTGTCAGTGCTATTATTGTTAACTAAAACTATTAAGAGTTGTTTTTGTTAATTGAAATACAGTTGAAATAAGTATACACCAAATATTAGATTAAAAAAAAACACCTTCAAAGGAATTTAGCAATGTTGCCTTGGCAGTTTTCTGAAATAAAGTTGAAAATGAATTAGTGAAATTAGTGAAACTAAAATTGAAATGAAAATAAAGCTAAATAGATATATTAAAAATTAACAAAAACAACAGAATTACTAAAACTGAAATACCTAATATTAAAAGAACTGGTGGTATCTGTGTGTGTTTGAGCTTGTATGTTCATGTGTGTGCAGGTCTCCAGGAGACATTATGGAGTTAACACAAGCTGATAGGCGGCATTTAGACAAGAGCAAACAAGACACAGGATCTTTAGGAAACAATGATGACGGCCTGAAATACGATAGTGGGCGCGTTGCCCATGACTTCAGCTGCATCCACAGCAAAGGTACAGCAAATACTCAGATGAAAGGGTGTTGAAATGTCTGAGCTTCTCTCCTGCAGTACAACAATAGTAATAGAAACAATTTCTGAAAAGAAATAGAGCCCAGCATTGTGGGATATTTCACTCTTTTCAGTTTGATATCAAATGTAATGAATGTTTTGACTGAACATGCTCAAACGTACAGAAAGCTAGTGCAAATAGCATGGTTTGACATCTATTCAAATATTGTTCCAATGAAATGAAATGATATAACGTAGAAATTGCACTCTAAGCCGTCTTGGATAAAAGTGTTTCCAAATGAAAAAAAGAATGTAAATGTAATATTGATTTAAATTAAATAAAGCTTTCAAGAGACTCGTTTTTAATTCAGCTACAATTACTTACACAAAGTAAATATTTTCATTCAATATGGTGCATTCAAATTATTTTCATTAGCAGCGCTTGCAAATGTTTTACAGTTTTCAAATGAAAAATGCAAACTAAACCACAGAACTGTGTTGCAACGGCTCTGGACATTGTAGCCAGTACATAGTGCTCATATTGGACCCGAATCACAAATCATTTGTGAGAATGACGTGCATTTTGTGTTTGTTCAGATCTGCTCCCTGCTGAGGATGGAGAGGAAGCAACCAAGCACTTCCTGTATTTTTTTTTTCTTTTTTTCATGCCTAGGCATCTGTCGTCTGGAGGCACTGCAGTGCATGAACACATTCATAACAGTTAACAAAAGAAGAGACAGGGTCTGAAAAGGTGATGAGGCCATGGGCGTTTTCATTCTTATGTAATAGCATTGCTTCTACTGGAATGGAAAACCATGCACTATGACCACACCCAGTTTGACTGAAGGTTGGTTGATTTTCAACCCTGGGGCAGAGGCTGGGGCTTTTATAACTCTCAGCCATTTGGCACAGACTCTAGATACTAACAGTCTACAAGAGTGGATGCCTCAATGAGAAGGTAAACTACATTGACCTGTTGTTGTATTTTTATTATATCATGTTAGAATGCCATACATTACTTTCATTTTTGCCATACTGTACAATTTCCAAATAATTTTATGCAGTTATTTTTGTTAACATAATCAGCGATTGGTGCTCATGTTCAAATAAGTGGCGGTTCACTGTGCTGATATTAAACCATTTCGGTTTTGTTTTCTAATTGAAGTGGTATAATGTAATTTCTGAAGTTGTGTTTGTGTGTATCTGTCAGTGCTATTATTGTTAACTAAAACTATTAAGAGTTGTTTTTGTTAATTGAAATACAGTTGAAATAAGTATACACCAAATATTAGATAAAAAAAAAACACCTTCAAAGGAATTTAGAAATGTTGCCTTGGCAGTTTTCTGAAATAAAGTTGAAAATGAATTAGTGAAATTAGTGAAACTAAAATTGAAATGAAAATAAAGCTAAATAGATATATTAAAAATTAACAAAAACAACAGAATTACTAAAACTGAAATACCTAATATTAAAAGAACTGGTGGTATCTGTGTGTGTTTGAGCTTGTATGTTCATGTGTGTGCAGGTCTCCAGGAGACATTATGGAGTTAACACAAGCTGATAGGCGGCATTTAGACAAGAGCAAACAAGACACAGGATCTTTAGGAAACAATGATGACGGCCTGAAATACGATAGTGGGCGCGTTGCCCATGACTTCAGCTGCATCCACAGCAAAGGTACAGCAAATACTCAGATGAAAGGGTGTTGAAATGTCTGAGCTTCTCTCCTGCAGTACAACAATAGTAATAGAAACAATTTCTGAAAAGAAATAGAGCCCAGCATTGTGGGATATTTCACTCTTTTCAGTTTGATATCAAATGTAATGAATGTTTTGACTGAACATGCTCAAACGTACAGAAAGCTAGTGCAAATAGCATGGTTTGACATCTATTCAAATATTGTTCCAATGAAATGAAATGATATAACGTAGAAATTGCACTCTAAGCCGTCTTGGATAAAAGTGTTTCCAAATGAAAAAAAGAATGTAAATGTAATATTGATTTAAATTAAATAAAGCTTTCAAGAGACTCGTTTTTAATTCAGCTACAATTACTTACACAAAGTAAATATTTTCATTCAATATGGTGCATTCAAATTATTTTCATTAGCAGCGCTTGCAAATGTTTTACAGTTTTCAAATGAAAAATGCAAACTAAACCACAGAACTGTGTTGCAACGGCTCTGGACATTGTAGCCAGTACATAGTGCTCATATTGGACCCGAATCACAAATCATTTGTGAGAATGACGTGCATTTTGTGTTTGTTCAGATCTGCTCCCTGCTGAGGATGGAGAGGAAGCAACCAAGCACTTCCTGCAGGAGCTTGTAAACATCTTGCTGGCCTACATCAATAAATCCCTCAAACGCAGCTCCAAAGTTCTAGATTTCCACTATCCTCACCAGCTTAAGGAAGGTCTGGAGGG